TAAGTGTTTCAGTTTGGAAAGGAGCTTGATCTTCTTTTTCTGCTCCACTCTCACCCTCTCCATATTCTTTTTCTTCCCTTTCTCTCAATCTCTCTTCATTTTCRACATTTACTCCCTCATCTCCTCCATCATCAGGTATATCTTGAAGTATGCGATCGTAATCATCACATTCGTCAACGTTGAATGACAAAGAATACAAACTTGGACAAGGTTGCTGTGCTGAATATTCAGGAAATATATCATCAATGTCATCAACAATAGTACCGATTGCAATATTTTGAGCAGGAATAGATTGATCACGATCTTCTGCTTCAACATTATCATCATCTTGATCATCATCAGCAGAATCTGCCACATTATCAGATTCAGTAGCTTTCGAACTTGAAGAAGTTGTGGAAGTACTGACAGTTGAACTACGTTGTTGATCAGACGCTCCCCCTGCCTGTTCACCCCTCTCAATTTCATTTTCTCTCAACTCACTTCCCTGTTCAGGTAACCCCTGTTCCTGAACTCGCTTTTATATTTCTACTTCCTCTCTCACAGCTGAGACATGGGGTGATCCTTTGGCAAGTTCAACCAGTTCTGGTTGAACTATTGGATCTATCACTCGCCTATAATCTATTACGCTCTGAGCGGTCTGATCAGCTAAGGCGATAAGTTCTGTTGGTACTGGCATTATAGAGCCCAAGTCTTCAACTTCTGTGTGCTGCCTTATTCTGGTCATGACAAATGTAGGCCCTTTTTCAGCGTTTGGCCTGGCTGGAATATCTTCATTTGCATTCATCATGGCCCTAATAAACAATTGTAGAAACCTCTGAAATGGCACAAACTTCCGAGCTTTAGACGGGAATCTTTTTGCATTGACTAGCTCTACCAACTCATTCCATATGACTAATGCATAGTCATAGTGTCTTGAGAAGACGATACCATGAAAGAATTTAAGGAATGAGCTACTACAGGTATCTATGTCCGCTGTCTTTGACGTCAGACATCTATTCAAAATTGAGAACAATAAGTGCCAGATTGAGGGCAGGAATCGTCTTTTGAATTGAGTTAGATTGTTCAATTCTGCCGAGTATCCTAGACGCTTGATATCCAAACACAGTTGTTCGTCAGATATAAAGTCTTCAAAACCAGTAGAGCCTGGTCCGGGCAGACGAAGAATTCTTCTTAGACGTTTCAATGTGAGGCAACTGACATATTCGTCAACTTCTCCTTCAAAGTAAATTGTGTCCCCGTCTTTTTCCAAAGTGAGTGTGCTCCAAAATTGTTGTAAATACACCATCGGAACAGGTGTATTTGCAGATAGAGAATATGATATAGGATGGCCTTTCAGGATTTCTAGAATGATCGGGTATTCGGCAGGCATAGCAAAAGAAAAGACATGGTTATTGGGTTTTATGTCAAGATATTTAATCTGAGGGAAAAGGGTTTCTTATGGGATAGGTTGATTGGGCAGGTGAATAGGAATTTTATCAGATCTAACTGAAGGAACATGAGATTCCTCGTCAGATTGATGTCGTTGATTCGCCATTAACTTGTAAAAAAATTCTAAAAATATTAGAAACCATTTTATTCAAAAAAATACTACACAAAAAAAATTAAACTCTAAAAAAATTAAGACAATTAAAAAAAGGCACTCAAAAAAAATTAAAACTCAAAATAAAACAACTAAGACACGACACTTAGAAAAAAAATAAAAGTTATTGACCGGATTAGGAGCTTTGATACCAATTGTGAAGTCCCAAAATCATACAAACATGATATGATCCTCAAGAATTAAGATGAATAGAATAATAAAAAGAATATCTTCAAAGAATGATTAGATTGAGAGAGAGAGAATTACAGCTGAAAATCTTGATTACAATTTGCTAATCACTTCAAAATGACAATTACAAGGAAAATACTATTTATACTAGGAAATAGTAAAACTACACTATTACAAAATAAAGCTATTCTAAGGAGAAACTTGAATACAACTTTAACGCTCTAACTCAAACCCAACATATCCCTATATGATATTTTCATTTCTTAAAACAAAACCATCACTGAAGCTTTTCTTCTTCAGTGATCAAATGTTTTAAAAGTCCCTTTTATTCAGTAATCTTATCACTGAATGTGGCCCTTGAACTTGTTAAAACATTTTTGTTTTAAAAGAAATAGATTATGATCCGTCTTTATGACGACATTCTCTGTTATCAATACGATTTTGCTTTAAAACGCGCATAAAAGTCTGACACACGTGACTCCTCCAAATTCCATCCAATCGTGGATGAGAACGTGCTACTTTTTCATCATGGCACTTCCTCAACAGTCGTATTTTTCTCTCTCCTATTTCTTTTTCTCTCTCCTCCTACCTATAAATATGAGACTTCTCTTCTCATTTTTTCTTTATGCTTTCAAAATATATTGACAAACCTCTGCCAAAATAGATTTGCGAGCAAGAACTACGAACTAAGAACACTCATAAACCTTCGACCTTTTTCTCATAAATCTCTAAGGTCGATACTCTTTCTTTTATCTTTTGATCTGTTCTTCTTCTTCTATGAAACTGTGTTTGTTTCTGTAAGAACTTGTTATCTTAAAATACAAATATTAAGATTATTAACACATTATTTTCCTTGGTTATAATTTAAAGTTTCAAAACACTTGTTTTTCTTGAAAACCCCTAATATTTTCGTTGTGTATTTTTCAAAAGAAGTTTTATTGTTCTAAAACATAAAAGCTCACATCATAACCTTGGACTACTAACAAACCTGTTATTTCTTATTTCTTACATTTAACAGACAATAGCTGCCAAGAACATGAACTTTTCCATTGAAAACGTGTTCTTAAAGGCAAACAATCATGTTGCCTTGTTGGACATCCCTTCGAACAAAGCATTCTACGAGGAAGTCGCTACCTTCCTCAATATCTCACATCTCCTACGCTCTCACTCATGAACCTGTCATGGTGAAAGAATCCCTTCAGCAGTTCTGGCTAACTGCTAAAGTAGTTCAGGACAGTGACAAGCACGGTCAGCAGGTGGAGAAAATCTCCTTCACCTTTAACCACATGACCATCAAATTTCGCATTGCAACGCTAAGGAACGCTCTTCGTTTTCCCAAGGGACCCTTCGTCAGTGATCTTTTGGCTGAAATCATCATCGCTTGCCTTGATGATATTGGCTATGCCTAGCCAACGAAGAAGGACTCCAGCGAGCTTCTCAAGTTGCTTTCGAAGATCAAGAACCGCATGTCTGCGGTGTGGCAGTACTTGTTCTCCTACTTTATCCAGTGTATGAGAGGCAAGACTGGAGGTCAAGAACAAGCCTCAAGGGTCGCGCTCAACATTGGCATTTCTGTCATTCGCCGACGCCCTATCAACTTTGCAACTGTGATCTTCGAGGACCTGGCACTTAAGTTGAACAAGCACCAGAGGGAGAAGGTTGTACCATACACAAGGTTTCTCTTCATGGTGTTCGCCAAGATCTTCGGCGACAAGTACTCCAAGGTAACCTTCATATCTGCAAGCTTAGATCCAGGATTTTAGATCATAAGCTAAGGAATGAAGACATTGCACTCTCTGCTATGGTGCAACTTCCTTCTTCATTTTCTCCTTCTCCTTCTTAGGTAGTTAAGACTAAAAAAACCCCCCTGAAGTCTATCCAACCACCACCTCCCTTCCTTCCAAACGTCCATCTTCTCAACCCACTCTTGGTTATCCATCGAGGGCCAAGAAATCCAAAACAGGGATACACACGTCTCTGGCTGTGACCTCTCAAAAGTTCTCAACTATTGAAACTAGCCTTACCCCCGTGGCACTTTTAGCTACCCTTCCCATCTCTTTAGTGATTTCTGCAATCACTGTCATACATGTGGCTCCGATTCCAACCGCCTCAGTGACCCAAATCACTGAAGGTGAGAATATCAGCATTGCCACTGCTGAACACTCACGTCCATCTGTCTCCTTCATTTTCTCCTCTCCTCCCTCATTGGTCTCGACACGTGTTTATGATTCATCAGCGATTGTCCTCCCTTATGATGAAACACCTACCACTGGACCTGAGATTGCTCCTCTCGAGTTATCTCATCATACGGTCGCCTATCCTCTCGAAGGCAACCTGGAGCGAACCAGCATCAATCCTTCAGATGATGCTGATGAACCCTCAGGTACTCTACCTTCCTACCCTTTCGTTTCTACTAACCCAGAGCTTTCTTATGCTCAACCTTGTTTCTTTCAGGTCCTTTCAAAGAGACGCCAGCCATGGAGGAATACAACATGGTTGATGATGTCAAAAGTCTTCTCCCAGCTGTGAGACTATCCTTATCCAAATTGACCAAGTTCATAAGGACATGCCTCTTAGGGAAGAAGTCTCTGCTGACCTATCTGTTGTCCAAGCTGAAGTGAAAGAGGTCAAGGACCATCTCTCCTCTATGCAAGTGGTTGTGCAAGCCAACGCTGAGGCCATCTCTGCTTTAAAAAACAAGGCCGATGAAGCGAATGCTCATCTTGCAAAGCATACCGAGCTGATGCGGCAATATTGGCAACTCTCCAACAGCTAATAGCAGCACCTGAACCGTCCTTCACCGCTAAAGATCACGAGCCGCTAGATCACACGCTGGAGGCTACTCTTCTTCAAGCCCGTGTTGTAACCAAGCTTGAAGAAATGATGGTGCTTCATATAAGAACTGTGGATCACTTCTTTGGCTATTGTCCCAAAGCCAAAGAGGGGGAGACAGAGTTAAATGCTGGGGCTACTGCTACGAATGTTGGAGCTGATGCTACTGCTGCTGCTGAAGCTCCTAGTACTACTATCCCAATGACTCATACTGAAGTTGAAAATCCTAGAGAGATAGCTAATAAAGTTGAGGTTACTAATGAAAATCCAACTTCTTGTGTAGCTTCTGAAGCTGAGGATGTTGATGTCGTCCGAGCTGGCCCTGAAGCTCGTGACGAAGACCTTTTAATCACTTGTGCAGCTAATGTTGGTGTTATTCAAGATGATGATGAAGATGAAGACAATGATTCTCCCAACCTTCCTGATGCTGGTGAAGATCTTGGTGACGATGATGATGATGAAGACGACGATGATGACGACTTCCTCATACAGTACCAGAGACCTATCGATGCCACGAAAGGCGTTTCTCTCAGGGATTCTGCATTCCAGGGGGAGAAGGGGGAGAAAGAGAAGGAGACCATAGAAAAGAACCAGAACACCAAGTTGAAAGACAAGGGTGTTGCTAAAGAAGGAAACCTCAAGGTATTTTTCCAACCTTTTAAGCCCTTATGTATTGAGTCCTCCAGCTTCACCACCATTACTTCTCTTTATCAACTCTCCATCCTCTCCAATACCTGCGATCGACTAGAGGAATGGGTACCTGAAAACCTGACCTCCAGCATTCCCACCGACCAGTAGATGTCTCAGCTAAAGGAGTCACTCGACCAAACTAGAGTAAAAATCCCTCTTCGTACCTCTAGTTGTGGTTGTTGGTCCCAAAAGGGTCTACAAAAATACTAAACAGTTTGTAGAAGGGGGGGATGAATACAAACACAATTTTCAAATTTAAAATATATATTGRTAGAGAAGATCAATACAGATTTTACAAGATTGTTTGCGGAAAGATAAGGTATAAGAAACCTATYTAAAYAATCTTAAGTTACACACAAAGGTTAGCAAATACAAGAAAAAATATTGCTAAAAGAAAGTCTTTTACTTTAAGCTGAAAGAAGCTTGAAGTAAGAATGAG